ATTTTTTAACACTAACTAAATAAAAAAAAGTAAATTAAATTACATCCTAATTTTTTAAAAAAAACTAAAAGTATTATTTTTAAAAAAAATTGAATTCATTGACATAATTGTAGGTGTGCTGGAGTGGCCATGTGGGCCTTGCATAGGTTCGAATCCTGCCTATCACGTTCTTATTTTATTTTATTTTCTTAATTTAGCTTAGGCTCTATCAGCTGTTCTTATAAACTCAAAAGAATAGGCAAATTTGTAGAATATTTACAATTTTATTTCTTTGAACTGTCAAGGAACAGAATTTACATCTCACAGCAGCTTACAAAGGAACAGCTACAAATAGTATTAACTTACAAAGGCAACTGGAAGGGAGAAGAAAGAAAAAGTTCAGAATATCCCATCTTCAGATCTGTTTCATAAGAATATAGGCCACCTGACCTGCAAATAGCGATCGAGTCGCAAGTCGTTAGCTGCAAATGTTGCGGTGTAGAACAAAATATCCGTCGATGCATCAATATCTTCGTCCATTGTCAAGCACATCTCAGTAAAAAATATCAACAAAGGTATATAATAGACTACAATTTTTTTAGAAAATTTCGTTAATATCAAGATAGAATCGAGATTAAGTCCATCTTTGTTATGTTTGAATGGCTCGGATTATTCGAAACTGAAAAATTTAACCATATACCTACCTAGAAATCAGAGAAGTTCTCAAAAAACTTTTAGCATCCAGAATATGAGTTTGTACTTGTTTTCTTCCCAATTTGTATGAGGAAACTAGTTGAGATGAACGTACAAGAACGAGCAAGAAGAAAAGCTATTAAATTACGACATCCAACAACCCCTTCGACGAGCCATGTTTGATAATCATTTGGTTTTTAGTATCTCTGTATCAGCCTTCCTATCTAATTACTAATATATGCTCGATCTCCTAATACAATCCCTATCAGAATGCAAAGGAGTAGCAGGGATAATCATGTAAGCAGATCAAATCAGAGGCAGATATATAACTTGCTCTCTTAAGCACTAGTTTTAATTTGTAGTAACTTTGTTCACAACAATGGAATCAACGACTGCAATTTTCCAAATCAACCAAACAAATTTTAAGAGAAAGAAATCAGCTGAAGTTCATGATCAACGAAATTAGTGCAAATATGTGAGAAATATGGTCATCAGCAACGAATAAATGGTAAAGTAAAGTAATAATGCATACCTTAAAGGAGAAAGTGGCCAATACAACCTGTTAAAAAGAATCTCCTAGCCGTCAAATATCTTGGGAGTTCGATATTTCAACAGATGGAGAAGTTCCAACCCGACAACACTCCAACGACCTTTCGATATTTGCTGAATTCTAGTTCTATGGTTGATTTAGATGGTCAAGTCCATGCTTTAGGCATTAAATGTTCCAAGGGTGGTAACATAATTGTAGGACCAACTTGATGCCAGCTGAATCAGTTATCAACTTTTCTCTGCTCTTTTGTGTCTTCCATGTGGAGTTTTTAGTCAATCATATGAATATCTTGAACATCTATTTCCATATCAAGAATGGAACTTCCTAGATCATGAACTGCGTGTTCGATGTGCTCCAAACTTTCTGGCCGTACCCCACAGAAAACAAAGCTTTTCTTCAAATCACAACCCCTCAGTTCATTGTCTTTAGCATTTGAATGGGTAGTAGCAGACTGTTCTTCACGTTCATCCAATATGAAATCCCACTTTCTTTTTAACTGTTCCTTTTCTGAAAGATCCATCAGTCTATAAGCTTTGATTTTCTTCTCCAGAACATGATAATCTATTTCCCTCTTGACAAGGATCTCTCGGAGGATATTCATCTCTTCTTCATCATAAGCAATTTTTTCTTCTAATGCTCTCTGATATTGTCTTGCTTCCATTTCAGCTGACGCCTTCTCATTTTGCAAACGTGTTATCATGGCTATTGCTTCATCTACGGCAGTAGCAGCAGCAGCTCTCTCCTTCTCTAGTTCCAGAAACAGAGATGCTCGAGCAGTTTCTTCGTGTGCTTGGTCCAGCAATCTAATACAGCTTACTTCATTTCTGTCGATGTCTCTCTCTTGAGCGTTACTGGTACATTGTCCTATAGTGGAAGAGCCTTTATTCATATGATCATTTTCGCCAACTGAACCACTTGATTCAAAGCCTTGCCAGTTTCTTTCACTCAATTCCACGTGATTTGATTCATTACTATCATCTGAAATCGCAAGGTCACAGAAACATCATTATACAGCAAAAAATTAATATAAAACCCCTCCTTCTCAGCCAAAAAACAAAAGAGATGGGGATTCATGTTGAAGTAAATACAGCTTTCAAACAAATTCGCGTTTTCATAGGATGGAAGTTGGTTACTTTCTAGTTGGAAAGCTGTCTTTTGTGCATATAAGTTAATATTGTCACTGTGGTTGGCCGGTTGTTCTTGTTTGTTAGCTCAGCTACCTATATAAATGTGAGATCCCACATCAGTTGGAGAGGGAACGAAACATTTCTTATAAGGGTGTGGAAGTCTCTCCCTAACAGACGAGTTTTGAAACCTTGAGGGAAAGCCTGGAAGGGAAAGCCCAAAGAGGACAATATATGCTAGCGGTGGGCTTGGGTTGTTACAAATGGTATAAGCTCTAGACACCGGGCGGTGTGCCAACGAGGACGCTGGACCCCCAAGGGGGTGGATTGTGAGATCCCACATCGGTTGGAGGGGGGAACGAAACACTCAGTGTGAAAACCTCTTCCTAACAGACGCATTTTGAAACCTTGAGGGAAAGCTTAGAAGGGAAAGCCCAAAGAAGACAGTATCTGATAACGGTGAGCTTGGGCTGTTCCAATAAATTATCAGCGACTTGCATCGTAGAAAAAACAATTGAGGACAAAAAAAGGAATCATATAATGTTTTTTCACTCTTACTTTGTGCTGTTAAAATCTTTGATAGTTCTAACATCAAATCTTCAAAGATACTCATAGCCAGAAAAACTAACAAACATATCATATCAGAGAGGATGCAATATCAATTCAAGCAAGAGAACAATATATCAGAACATATAAAGAAATGGTAAAATTGATATATGATCACCTGGAACAAATTCTTGACTCTCAACCAATGCCACAAATCCCCTTTCCTTTCTAGTTTCATCCCCCTCACAGATTCCCTTGGACAATTTCACATCCTCAACCACAGTTCTCCGTCGTCGGATTTTAGTCCTCGGCCTCCGATACATAATCCTCTTACCCTTACCGTCGTGTTCGCTATCATTATGAATCGAATTCTGAGATCCTGGGCCAGACAATGTACTACAGCAAGCCTCAGGAATTCCATCCGTATGATGATTCTCCATTAACGAACTCCAATTCGTGTTATCCATTTGATCATCGATCAAAATCAAATCAAAAGGAAACCTACCTTTCACCAATTCGAGCACCAGACAAATCTTCCTCTTCGGCCAACTAACAAGCAGTCTATGCAAACACAAATTAAAGTTCCGATTCCCATAAAATCCAGTACAAGGACAAGGCAAGCACAACCCAACTACTTTCAAAATCTTTGATGGGATAAACACAGTAGCCGATACGCACAAAAGAACATAAACAAGAGCTAGGTCAATAAAAGCTCTGACTAAACCAGACAAGGTCCACGAATGGATCTCATGGAACGCCATGGATTTCAATCAGTTCCCTTAAACTTGGCGACTAAGAAATCAAGAAACAGTAACAAAACTACGAAAAACACCGTCCACAAATTGAATCCAGCACAAAAAACGTGGCCAAATTACAGAAACAGAGTAAGATTAGGAGAAGGAGGAAGAAAAACCTGAATTACAGAGAGAGGAAGGAAGAATAAGGGCAAGTTTACGAAGACGAAGATGAAATCAGGCGTCCATTTCAAGGGGCAGAGGAAGAAGACGAAGATGGAAGCAATGTCTTTTAGTGGAAGATTTGAGGATCATCGACATTATTGAACAGAAGCTGTTAAAAAACGTAACAAAAAGCTTGAGCTCATGAGAACTGCATTAAATGTATGCATATTAATAATGTATTTATAAGTGAGATGCTCGCGCGTGACTTTTTAATTCTATTTGACTTTATACCAAATAAATTTATTAAATTATTCAAAATGCCCCTACGCTTTTATTTATGTTCTCACACTTTATAATTTTTAATTTCAAAAGTTATTATTTTAAATAAATGAGACGAGTTTTAATTGTGCATTATTATTAAATTCGGCTAAGTTTAGGGCATGACTCTGATACCGTGTTAGACGAACACGACTCTCCACAATGGTATGATATTGTCCATTTTGAGTATAAGCTCTCGTGATTTTGCTTTGGGCTTCCCTAAACGGTCTTGTACCGAGGGAGATAGTATTCCTTGATTATATTATAAACTCATGATCTTCTCTATCCAACACCTCCTATCGAACAAAGTACCCCTCCCCTTAATTGAAACTCGACCCCTTCTTCTTTTGAAGTCTTAGTCATTTTTTACTATGCCTTCGAGGAGGCTTAACTCCTTTTCTTTTAGAGTCCTTTGTTCGACATTTGAGGATTCTATTGACATAACTAAATTTAGGGCATGACTCTAATACCGGGTTAGATGAACACGACTCTCCACAATTGTATGATATTGTCCACTTTGAGCATAATCTCTCGTGGCTTTGCTTGGGGCTTCCCCAAAATGCTTCGTACCAATGGAGATAACATTCCTTGATTATAAACCCATGATTACTCCCTAAATTAGCCAATCTGTGACTTTCATCCAACACTCGATAGGAGCCAAAATCGAATTCAAACCAACCATCACCCCTAGGGACGAGTAACTAGTACTTCTTAATATCGTATTTGGAGTAATAGGTTAGATCCATTTAGCTCGTGTTTCGAAATCATTTATTGTCCTCGTCACATCCAAAATTTCACATTCGAATTAAAAAATATGAAAAAAAAAACTTTAAAATAATATATTTTAATATCTAATATTAAATAAAATATTGTACAAATTCATATTAAAAATATAAATAAATATAATTGTTTAAAAATAATAATATTAAAGGCCAAAAGTAGAAAGATAAGCAATTTGAGCATCATAAGCTTGTTTAAGGTCATCCAAGACTTGTCCAATATTAGGCCTTAGTGAAGCATCTCTCTCTACACAACTTATAGCAATAACAGCTGCCTTTTTCATGCTTTCAACATCAAACCTTCCCCTTAACCTCTCATCGACTATCTCGAACGCACCCGCTTGCAAGTACGGTTTCGCCTGCATCACAACGAGCACGAGCATAGCTCAATCGGCATATTTCTTGTTCATAACGTTTTCAAAAGAAAAAAACAGATGTTTTCCAAACCGAGCATAGTTCAATTGGCATAGAGCGTGTGTTCTCGACCAGTGGACAAGTGTTCGAGTCTTCCACCTTCTGTTGCTGTTAACTTCGAAGGTGGAGGATTCGAACCTTCGACTCTAGGTCGAGAGTAAGGTAGAGAGAAAACAAAGTACTTGTAAGTATGATTTACCCATAACACCAAGTTGAAAGAATCCGGATTTCCAGTGTGACTCAAAGGCTCTCGTCCACAAATGAGCTCTAATAAAACAACTCCAAAACTATAAACGTCACTCTTTTCGGTTAACTGTTGAGTCGAGTAATACCTGCATTTGTCATTTTCACGTTAGAATTGATCAAAATTACTCCCGAACATGCTCGGAAAAAGTAGCTTACTCGGGATCCAAATAGCCAGCGGTGCCCTTGACAACAGTGGTGACATGAGTAGCATCAGGCTGTGGTAGTTGCTTGGACAGCCCAAAGTCACAAACTTTTGCATTCATTTCCATATCCAAAAGAATGTTACTACACTTAACATCACGGTGGATTATCCTTGGTTCACTTCCATTGTGTAAATAGTCCAACCCTAATATAAAATCACTAATTAATCGAATATTGTCGAGAAAAATAACAAAAATCTAACTCGAAAAATTATTCGTGATTGTACGACGACACAAGTCGCCAAAATCCAACAATTCAAAACCTACCCGAGTTCACGGTTTTCAAGATGAACTCGCCAAACCTCATTGTTGAATGATGAAAGTCCCACATCAGCTAATTTAGGCTAATTTAGGGAATGATCATGAGTTTATAATAAAAAAAATACTTTCTCCATTGGTACGAGGCCTTTTGGGGAAGCCCAAAGCAAAGCCATGAGAGCTTAGGCTCAAAGTGGACAATATCATACCATTATGGAGAGTCGTGTTTGTCTAACATGGTATCAAAGCCATGCCCTAAACTTAGTCGTGCCAATAGATTGATAAGGAGTTAAGTCTCCTCGAAGGCATAGTAAAAAATGACTAGGACTCCAAAGGAGTCGAGCCTCGATTAAGGGGAGGCGTACTTTGTTCGAGGGGAGGTATTAGATGATCCAGTCGACAATATATCAACTACTAAAAGATTAAACATTCCCGTGTAACACGAAAATTGAACCTTTTGCTGCATCAACAGCTACTTTGAGTCTTCTAATCCAGCTAAGTGAGACACTTTTTTTGTTCTTGCCTGAAAAAAGGATACATAACAATAAATAATTAACCATTCTATGTAGAATTGATTATCAACATTGTAATTGCTACATAGATAGTTACCATAGATGTGATCAGCCAAGGATCCACCCGGTAGATACTCGTAAACAAGTATTTGTCGTTTCGATTCGTTACAAAATCCTTCCAAACAAACGAGATTTTGATGACGAATTTGAGACAGGAGATGAACCTATTAAACAAAACATTAAAAGTTTTAAGAAAATGACAAGTCATGGTTAGATTTGATCTTCTCCGTCTAATACATCACGTATTTAGACGTGTCATCGAAGGTTCATCCCTCGACCCGAAGTAATAATATGGGTCCGAGCTTAAACGTCCATATCATGTTTAAGTATGACTAAACTCGAGAAATGAAACGGATAAGTCTCGATATATTCTCGAGATGGTGTCGAGATAAGTAGGAGTACCTCGTTGATAAAGGAATCAGCCCCAAGTTGGCTTTTGTCAAACCTTACTTTGACAGCCACAAGTTTTCCCTCAGGAAGCTTTCCAAGATAAACAGATCCAAAGCTTCCTCTGCCAATCACCTCCTTGAAGTTGTTTGTAGCTGCCTTTATCTCCTTGTATGAGAATACTTTTGCAGCGTTCCAATTCCTTAGCTCCATTGCTGCCTCTACACATGCCACAAGTTTTTGAAATCCCCTTAGAATTTACGCCACTGAAAACAAGTAATCCGATTCAAGTCGGGAAAAAGATCGTTCGGTAACGTTTCTGAGAACCGTTTCTCGTTTCTCATGTAATGGCCCAAACCCACTGTTAGTAGATATCGTCCTCTTTAGGCTTTCCTTTTCGGGCTTACCCTCAAGGTTTTTAAAACGCGTCTGCTAGGGAGAGGCTTCCACACCCCTATAAAGAGTGTTTCGTTCTCCTCCACAACTGACGTGGGATCTCACGATCCACCCCTTTCAAGGCCCAGCGTCCTCGCTGACACTCGTTCTTTTCTCCAATCGATGTGGAACCCCACCAAATCCACTCCTCTTCGGGGCCCAGCGTCTTTGTTGGCACACCGCCTCGTGTCTACCCCCTTCGGGGAACAACCTCCTCGCTGACACATCGCCCGATTTCTAGCTCTAATACCATTTGTAACGGCCCAAGTCCACTGCTAGCAGATATTGTCCTCTTTGGACTTTCCCTTTCGGGCTTAAAGGTTTTTAAAACGCGTCTGCTAGGGAGAGGCTTCCACACCCTTATAAAGGGTGTTTCGTTCTCCTCCCCAACCGATGTAGGATCTCACATCTCGTTTCTCGTTTTTTAGGAACTTTGGGAATAAACAAGTGGCATGAGCATTATACTTTCGAAGTTAACGATAAAAACGTATTCGATACAACGAGAAACTAAAAACAAGAAACGAATACGATACCGAACGATCGATCGAGCTTGAAGGTTTGTCTTACTTGTTGAGTATGTGGGTTGAGCTGTGTGTTGAGAATGCTTCCTCATGTAGAGTAGAAATGAAAGAGAGAGTGTGATGAGGACTAGCAAAACTGCTGCAACTGCACAAGCAATGACAGTGATTGGCATATGACTGTTGCTATTGTGGCTGCTCATATCCTTCTTTCTGTCAGGAACCACTGTGACTTGTGGCGTTTCAATGGCTGGGTTTGATGAAACATCATTGCATGTCATTGTGGAGAAAGACAGACAAGGGTTGCCTGATGTTCTGCAACAACGAGTAATCGACATCGAACATCATCGTTTTTCGTAAAAACGTTTGAACAGTTATGTTCGAATTCTGTGTTTTAAAAATTTTGAAAATGTTTCTAAAAATCAGAAGCTAAAATAAAGAAATTCCATACCTAATTTCCAGAGTTCCTTTGTTCAAAGCCAATGGAAGGGTGCCTTCTAGCCTGTTGTTCTCCAAATTCCTGAGGTTGAAAGTGACTGAAATCTTCAAAAGTTGCTATTTTCAAAAGTCATTATGAACACGTTTGACCAAAAAGATGATAGTATGAGAAACATTTGTAATAGCTCAAGCCCACCGCTAGTAGATATTGTCCGTTTTGGCCTATTACAAATGGTATCAGAGTCAGACACTGGCCCCCTCACATCGATTGGAGAGAGGAACGAAGCATTCCTTATAAGGGTGTGGAAACCTCTCCCTAGTGGACGCGTTCTAAAACCTTATGGGGAAGCCCGGAAGGGAAAACCCAAAAAGGACAGTATCTGTTAGCAGTGAGCTTGGGGTGTTACAACGATACTTTGAAAAAGCCATTTTGAACATGTTCAACTGGAAAAAAATGACGGTACTAGAAAACATTACTTTCACACGTCATTTCAAACACGTTCGACCAAAAAAGATGACGGCATGAGCTCACTTACAATAAGTGAAGATCTTCAAGTTCTCCCAAGCTGTCTGGAACAATTCCCTGCAGACTGTTGTTCTGCAAGTCCCTATATATATACATGTATATATATAAGCCCTTGGTTTAAGAATGTCAACTTCAATTCTTAACTATAAAAACGAACACAACTGACTTTAACTGACAAAGAAGCTCAATTTCCAAGGTTAAAACCCATGACTGTTGGAAACATGCTGTCTGGTTTTTTTCCTTTGTACTTACAGAATTTTGAGGTTGCTTAGGTTCTCGAAATCTGTCCCAAATGACGTTAGCTTGTTGTAACTCAAGTTCCTTCAAGAGGAAGTTAGTTAATTCAGTTATGTTGTTAAATATATATGATGTCCAAAAAATTCATAATAAGACAAGACAGTTGAGAAAGGAGTACAAATTTTCAAGATGGGTCAGGCTGCCCAAATTTTCTATCTGCCCGGTAAGTGAAGTGTTGTGCAAATCCCTGAAGAGAAATCACAGTAGTAAAATGGATTTATGAGCTCGGACGAAGAGTTGCCCCGAACCGACAGGTATTAGCAGTGATATTCTTCGATATCACGTAACAAATTTGATACGACGAGATAGAATGCAATACAGAGAAATGTTTAGAAGAGTTTACAGTATTTTGAGGTCGAGAATGTCGCCGAACGTCGGGCTGATCGACCTGAAGTTGATGTCGGAAAGCTCCCTGAGAGTGAGTAAAAAAGTAAGAACAAAGGAATCATTTGGATGCGTTGGGATGGAAAAACAGAACAAAAGAGATTAATATTGATAAATTTTAGTACATACAGAGATGTGACGAGGTTTCCTTCACATCCAACATGATCCCATGTTCTTGGAGAGCATGGATCATCTTCCCATCCCAAATTCAAACCAATAGATTGATGAATCACCTGAAGGGCTGAAACTGCAAGAAGTTTTCCAAAGTTTACGTCCAATTTCGACCCGAGTTCTTGAAACTTTTAATGTTATTCAACTCGTAGATTGTCAATTTTGTGACTAATTTACGATCAAAGTTCGTTAAACTTGACCCACTCGAGTAAGTATGGGATATGTCAACATGAACATGACTCATTAAGGTCGATGTTCGTTAAGTTACTGTAGCAGCCCAAGCCCACCACTAGCAGATATTGTCCGCTTTGGCTCGTTACATATCGCCGTCAGCTGGTTTTAAGACAAGTATGCTAGAGAGAGGTTTCCACGTCCTTATAAGGAATGTTTCATTCCCCTCTCCAATCGATGTGGGATCTCACACTCCATCCCACTTGGGGGCCCAACATCCTTACTGGTACACCGCCTGATGTCTAGCTCTGATACCAACTGTAACGCCCCTAATTTTCTTAACCTAATTAGTGACATCAACCCACTAAGTACAGGATAAGCCAACATGAACATGACTCATTAAGGTCAGATGTTCGTTACGTTACTATAACAGCCCAAACCCACCGCTAGCAGATATTATCCACTTTGGCCTGTTACATATCGCCGTCGGCCAGTTTTAAAACAAGTATGCTAGAGAGAGGATCCTACACCTCTATAAGAAATGTTTCGTTCCTCTCTCCAACCGATGTGGGATCTCACAATCCACCCTTCTAGGGGGCCCAGCATCCTCGCTAACACACCACCTGGTGTCTGGCTCTGATACCAACTGTAACGCCCCTAATTTTCTTAACCTAATTAGTGATATCAACCCACTAAGTACGGGATAAGCCAACACGAACATGACTCATTAAGGTCAGATGTTCGTTACGTTACTGTAACAGCCAAAACCCACCGCTAGCAGATATTATCCACTTTGGCTTATTACATATTGTCCGTCAGCCGGTTTTAAAACGAGTCTGCTAAAGAGAGGATTCCACACCCCTATAAGAAATGTTTCGTTCCCCTCTCCGACCGATGTGGGATCTCACAATCCACCCCTTTTGGGGGCCTAGCATCCTCGTTGACACACCGCCCGGTGTCTGGCTCTGATACCAACTTTAACGCCCCTAATTTTCTTAACCTAACTAGTGACATCAACCCACTAAGTACGGGATAAACACGAAACATAAACATCACACCTGTGGTTGATGAAGCTTCCAAAGGAACATGAACAATTTGATACACCTCAATGGCATTGACTTGAGGATAGAATTTGACACTCTTGAAAGTGATAATCAAGCTCTTGATTTGGTCTTGAATGACATACAAAGCCCTCATCTCTCCCATTTCAACCGTGTAATTTGATTCTATAATTTTCCCATTCATCAACACATCAAATGAAGGATGAACTGCAAGAATCCCACCAAAATACAAAATCACGAAGTAATCTCCTTGTTCTTCAACTGGAAGGTTGTAGCTCAGCTCATCTCTTCTTGCCAAAACTCTAGCTGTTTCAACCACTACAGCTGGTGGAGCTTCCTTCACTTGTATAGAATCAAAGTTAGCCTCAACTTTGAACCCTGATGACACATGAAATGGCTTGAAGTTCTCGTCCGCGTCCCAGATTCGATCGTATCGATCGATTGGGTACCTGTTTTCGACGAATGTGTAGCATAATGTGATTCTGATGAGTATCCCATGTTAGTCAAAAGTATATGAACCAGAGGTTGTTCGTACCTGAGAGATCCATTAGTGTAACCACAGTTGATTCGATACGACTTTCTAAGAGCCTGATTAGGAAGCAAGCCATCGTCGTACGCTCCCCGTGGCAGCGGTCGGAGTTCGACCGAAGATATTAAGGGACTTCCACCCTCAGGAATGGAATGCAAACAGAAGGAGACAGTTTCTTTGTTAACTGGCCATACAAACTCCTCAGTCCAAGGGTCATGAGAGGTAAGGTTCACATTGGTAGTTATGGCTGTCCCAATAGAAACAGCAAATGCAGGGGGCTTTCCAAGCTTGTCATAGTTTTTGTACACAAACTGAGCTCTGATAAGAACTGATGAGGAGCCATTTTTCAATGGTAGCTTGTAACATTTTCGCGCTCGGGTGTCGGGGAAGAACCGAACATGGCCGGTGGAAAAAGATCCACCCTTGCCTTTGTCGATGATTGACGTGTTACCGGTGCCGATGTAGTCGATGTCCGGAATCCATGAAATGTTGGAGGAGTCAGTGAAGGTGGTAGTTCCTCCACAAGATAAGCTTAGGAAAACTGTTTCATTTACATTGAAAGTCAGTTATATCTCTTTATAAGAACCAATATGAGCTCATCTTTTAGTCAAGACATCAGTTATATCTCTAAAAAGGGATGGTTCTAAGAACCAATATGAGCTCAACTCAATTAGTCGAGACATGAGTTATATCTCTAAAAAGGGATGGTTCTAAGAACCAATATGAGCTCAACTTAGTTAGTCAAGACATCAGTTATATCTCTAAAAATAGACGATTCTTAGAACCAATATGAGCTCAACTTGGTTAGTCAAGACATCAGTTATATCTCTAAAAAGGAACGGTTCTAAGAACCAATATGAGCTCAACTCAGTTAGTCAAGGCATCAGTTATATCTCTAAAAAGGGATGATTCTAAGAACCAATATGAGCTCAACTCGGCTAGTCAAGACATTAGCTATATCTCTAAAAAGGGACGGTTCTAAGAACCAATATCAGCTCAACTCAATTAGCCAAGACATCACGACGATTCTAAAAACCAATATAAGCTCAACTCAGTTAGTAAAGACATCACTTATATCTTTAAAAAGGGATGATTCTAAGAACCAAATCGAACCATTTCTCGAACAGAAAGCACTTCAAAGCGCATTTACTCATCTACTCTAACGGAACAAAAACTTGAATGAAGAATAGAATCATACCATCTTGATCACTCAAAGCAAGAGTCCAAAACCCACAGCACAAAAAGAAGCCAACCCACAAGAGCTGCAGGTCCATTGGTGCCACTTTGGGTGCCACATTGGTGCCAAGTTGGGATTTTATTGTTAGTTAGATAAAGTGATGAAGAAGCAATTAGTAATGAGTGATATAAATTTTTTAAAAAGTAATGAATTTATGGCAATAGACATGATGAGCCATGATGATCAAAGTGAAAATGGTGGAGTAGTTGTTGTAAAACATACTCAAAAGCACAAACCAAACCCTAAAGCAAAGCTAAAAATATTCTTTTTTTTCTTTTTCCTCATTGCAAATTATATTCACGTGATTACTTTTGTAGTATATGTTTCGTTTTAGGTGTCGATAATATTTAGTAACGAACGATATGTTGGGTTTTCTGGAGCCTAAAATCATCGACAAAGCTCGTTGGAAGGTGGGTTTGAAGCTAACAGACATAGATATCTTAGTTGGTTTAACAGGGTTCTAGCTAGTTGCACACCTAGACCCGTTAAGCTTAGAAATAAGACGGTTATATTTCAAAGTCCATGCTTGGCACAGGGACACATGTGTTCCAAGGAGCAAAGTTACGAGGATAATGACAAACCAAAGTTGCACCGTACTTCCTACTCTTCATGGTTTATTGAATTTATAATGTGGGATCTCACAGTCCACTCTTTGGAGGCCCAACGTCTTCGCTCGCACACTGCCTGGTGTCTGGCTCTCAGACCATTTGTAACAATCCAAACCCACTGCTATCTACCCACCCCTTGGAGGCTCAACGTCCTCGCTCGCACCCTGCCTGATGTCTGGCTCTGAGACTATTTGTAACAATCCAAACCTACTGCTATTCACCCCTTGGAGGCCCAACGTCCTCGCTCGCACACTGCCCAATGTCTGGCTCTGATACCATTTGTAAAAGTCCAAACCTACCGCAAGCAGATATTATCCAGATAGTAATACTATACGGCTCTGATTAAGTAGCTAATCGAGGACTATAGATTTTGCTTCATGGATAAGCGAGGACAGCAATGATATTTTTGGAGTTCCTATTAAATGGACTTTACTTCTCATTTCATACTAAAAAAAGGTCATATCTTTGCAACAAAGGGAAGTAAATTTCAATGGTTTTTCTTAGCAACTTGTTTTAGTTAAATGATTAACTTTATATCATTATTTTATATGCTAATTGAGTTTACTTCATACTTAGTTAATTAATTAGTGTTCTTTTTTAGATAAAAGATTCGAATTTCTGACCTCTCGAACGACTTATTTTACAAGTTGAACTATAGGGGTTGTTTCATCCGTGCTACTGGGATAAGACACTCAACCTTATCTATATACTTTAGACCTTTATAATTATTTATTGACGTATTACAATTATATGTTGTTCAGTATTACATTAATGATTATGAATTCTCGGACCGTGGATGATATAAATTACAAATAAAAAATAATAAAATAATAATGTGTTTAATTACTTAAGCTTCTAAAGATAGTTAGAGAATGACTGAACCGGTGTTGAACTCGACTCATGGTTATGTGTGCTGAAGAGAGTAGGTCGCATGCAGAATTGGGTCCGTGGATGCATATAGGTAGCAATCACTAATAACTCACGCCTGACAACACGCACATAGTGTCCACACGCCACATAAAAGACCAAGAAAGACAAATGTACAGTGTGACTGAAAAAAAATACGATCATGACACTAAATAATGACGACATTTAACTCAAGGTCTTGATGTGCTAGAGATGTCTCGATCATGCTTGTCCAAAGCATGTTAATTCTGGCCGCATGACAGATGTCCTAATCTTGCTTGTTCGGGTCGGTTGACAGGGACGTCAACCAATTGAGTGGGGGAGGCTGTCACGGTCATGCATGTCAAAGACGTGTTGTTAATGGCCGCATGACAGATATTCTAGTCTTGTTTTTCTAGGACGTGTTGTCCATGGTTGCATGCCCGTTCCGACCCCTTTTACATGCTTCCTGCCAGAGCTAAAATGCCCCAAAATGTACTATAGAGGATATCACAACCGTATCGAGAAGTATTATAATATTTTGTAATATTTATAAAAAAAATAAATTTATCTCTAATTATTATTATTATTTTGGATGGTCACTGTGACATTAGGAAATGAATTGGATCGACCTTTTGGTCTTAGCTCATTGGATGATATTATAACGGCCCAAGCTCAAGCTCACCGCTGGCAGATATTGTCATCTTTGGGCTTTCCCTTTCGGGCTTCCCCTTAAGGCTTTAAAAGGCGTTGGGAAAGGTTTCCACACCCTTAGTGTTTCGTTCTCCTCCCAATCAATGTGGGATATCACAATCCACCGCTAGCAGATATTGAATGATACTGTAACGGCCCAAGCTCAAGCTCCAGCTCACCGCTAGCCGATATTGTCATCTTTGAGTTTTCCCTTTGGGGCTTCCCCAGGGCTTTAAAATGCGTCTGCGAGGGAAAGATTTCCACACTCTTACAAATGGTGTTTTGTTCTCTTCCCCAACCAATATGGGATATCACAATGCACGGGCCCAACGTCCTCGCTGGTACTCGTTCCTTTCTCCAATCGATGTGGGACCCCCCCCCAATCCACCTCTTTCGAGGAGAGAACAAAACACCATTTACAAGGGTATGGGAACCTTTTCCTAGCATACGCGTTTTAAAGCTTTGAGTGGAAGCCCGAAAGGGAAAGCCAAAAGGAGACAATATGTACTATCAGTGGACTTGACCGGGGCTATTAGATAACTATATCTATATATATATATATATCACACACGACAAAAAAAAAAATTATATTTCACCAATACTCCAATGAGATAATATCATCGAACAATAAAGAAATCCCAATTAAATGGAGTCACATTTACCAAAGATTCACAGCATAAGAATTCTCGTCCTTGTTCTTGTCTTTGTTCGAACTATAAATTACTGTAAATTTCAGGACTCGAACCATTCTACATTCCTATTTCTACACCAAAATTTCCTTATGGGGAGAACAGCGATATCATCAGAAGAACATGTTCTAAAATTAGTTCATCCAGGAAAACGCATCGAAATCTACACTAAACCAGTACAAGCAGCTGAAATTCTGAGAAAATACCCCAAATTTTGCATCACAAGGCCCGATGTGTTCAAATTTCCATGGATCGTTGTCAGGTCTGATTCCCTTTTGGTCCCCGGAAAAGTGTTCTTTCTCGTCCCTAAGCGTACGCTCTACCGCCTCTTGAAGGCCAACCACCCGCCTGATCGCTCGCTAATACCCTTAGGGCCATGTACAAAGAATTCTGGAATGACTCCGAGACGGCTGAGAGTGGCCGGGGAAGACGGCGGGAGGAGAGGTCGGAAGAGGTCCGATATTGAGCCGAGGCAACCACGGTCGCCGTGGACCGTCTTAGGCGGCAAGAGAAGTGTGAGATATTCTTCTTCGCATGTACATGACTGTTACAAGTGCGGCGGCGATGTTTCTAGCGTCGAAGTTCCGGAACGGAATGGAGAGGGGAAATGTAAAACGACGTCGTTGAGATCTTGTATGAAGAAGCCTGGGAGTGCTCCTCGGTTGGTTAATCCAAGAGTGGGATTTTTAATTCCAGGTGAGGATGTTGTTGTACCTGTAACCAAACAGCGGACGGTCCTTGACCGTTTCAAAACTTGCAACCTCTTTAATCGTTGATATTTATAGATAATAATATTTTGAATTTTGTTTTAGTTAATGAAAAATCAAAATATTTATGTTTTTTTTTTTGTTATATTAAGAAAAAAGTTTGAAAAATGTTGAATATTTAAATTAACCCGACAATGTCACAACAGATATCCAGTCTTGCTTGTTCGAGTCGGTTGATAGGGGATGTCACAGTCATGCTTGCCTAAAGCATGACAGACGTCGTAGTCTTACTTGTCCGAGTCGGTAGATAGGGACATCAACCAATTGAGTTGGGGAGGATGTCACGGTCGTGCATGTCCAAGGCCGTACTCATGTGATTGAGAAATGTATTGACTATCACTTAATCGTACGTGACTGTCGGTCTCTAAACCTCATGGCCAATCATCATAATAACACATGCTAATCACGCGTCATACAACATTAATTATCAATAACTCGTAACTATCATCAAACATGCATGTACTGATCATAAATCAAACAATTCATCTAGCTTAGTCCTAAAGCATTATAACCGTAAGTCACTGTACGATCTGCTGACTATAACGTTCTTATCGTCGGGCACATGCCTAACTCTAAAAAAATGCATAAGATTAACATTTGCTTCTAAATAACGTAGAGTGCATCCAATATAAATACCTCCAATGGACTAACACGAAATAGTTAAACTCTATGAGTCGTGAATTTGACAAAGATTTTTTAATGAATAGCATGCTAAAATTTTTAGTCAAGACGTCATTCATAGATTTTGCATAGATTGACATTTACTCGATCGTTGACGAAGAGTTGTCTAATAACCCTTAATAAATTTTTAAATTGGTCGTAATATATATATATATATATATATATATTAAAAGTACCAAATTCATTTAATTAAAAGTATTTAGCTACAAAAATAGATCAAGGCAAAACATGGTAAGTGTCATCACTTTCCAAAATAGAAACATCAAACTATTTTTTTATTTTTTATTTTAAATATAAACATATGTAGTGTTATATTTTCAAAATAAAAAATAAATAGATATGTGTTCATTTGGTGAGAAAATAATAATAATAATAATTTAATTTTAAGTCGTATATCTCTGGAAGCTTTTTAATTAAAACTATTAAAACAATAATTTAAAAACTAAAATTATATATTGCAAAAGAAAAATATAAAACTTCTCCCTAATAATTCCAATTATTTCTAAAACGTAATATTTTATTTAATTAAAATAAACAAAATAAAATTAAAAAAAAAACAATAATCTATAATTATATTTTATTATATTTAGTTTTTAAAGATATAATAAAAAGGACAGATGTGTAAAAATGTAGGCCTCACAAATAAAATTAAATACCTTATTTAAAAAAAAGACTTTTTTTTTTTCATTATTTTCAAAATTGGAAAGTTTTGAAATAAACAATTGGAAGGTTTTATTTCAAAATATCTATAATAATTTTTAATTTATAAAATATTATATTTTGCATCTCAATATTAATTATTTAAAACATATATAGAAACTAAGAGTTCGTTACGAGTCAGAATAATGACCTATGACTCGAGTGTCAGATTCTCGGTGCTTATAGATGTCCCATAGCAAGTTTCGTGAACAACTATGCTCGAAAACAAATGAATTGTGAAACAGAGCCAAATTTGTAACTATTCCGACTCGCAATTTTTAAAAATAGCTATGAACTACATTTTGTTACCCTCTGTGACGATATTGTATTAAATTTTATTTTTAAAGTTAGGAGATAAAATATATTTTAAAAACTTTTAAAATTTTATATTTTATATATTTTTTAGTTGGAGTATTAACTTGAAAAAAGGAAAACGGTATTAAAAATAAAAAAAATTAATTTTCATAAAAGGCAATTTCTGAACGGTATGCCAAATAAAATCGTTTCGTCGCCCTACAAAACCAAAACCAAAAGAAAACCCCACTTTGATTCTCTTTTTCATCCTTGCTTTTCTCCTTTTACCGAACCTACAGGGCCCTGTGATTATCATTCGCTAATTCCCAATTTTGGCGATTCTTCCCTCTTTCTGCCATGGATTCTGAGGACGATCTCCATTACTCCACCGATGATGATTGCGATTTCTACAGCGGCGATATGGACATGGGGATGGCCTATTACAGCGATGAAGACGATCCTGAAGCTGAGGACTTTGTTGATGACGATACCGATGATTACTTCGAGTCCCGTCGTCGCGAGGTTGCTTTTCGAATTCCTTGTGCCTTGGTTTATTATTTTCGAAATTTTATGTGAATTGCGGGTAAATTTTGATTTTTTTTTCAGCGGCTGGGCTATGATCCTTGAGATAAGAATGAATTCGATTGGTTCTATTTGGTATTTTGATGATCTTAGTTTTCGAGGTTGTGCAGCCTTCTGAAGTTAATTTGAATTATATGGCTTTCTTTTAACGAGCGGCATACTGGGGTTTTTATCTGGTTGCAAATTTGAGACTAGTGATAACAAGTATTGTGAATTTTATTCCCAGCTTTATGTATTTGTTCGTGTGGGTTTGTGATGAAATTCGTGTTTGTAATGGCGGTAACTTCTCTGCTAATAGCGAATATCTAACTCTGTTTAAAGAAGAAAATGAGTTCAGTAATGTCTATTTACTATTGGATTTTCATGGAAAGATGTGTTCTGACAGCCGAGAAGGAAAAGATAACTTTATTGCCCTTCCTGGACTCCTATGTTCCATTTGGGTTTATAGTACAACTGGATATTTTACTTGAAAATTACTTGTATAGATAGTTTTGTTTTGCTTTTTATTATTACTGATCTCTACTTGTGTCCTTGTGCAGCAAAATTTTACCATACTAAATGAGTTTGATATAAGACAACGCCAAGAGGATGACATTACGAGAATTTCTTCTGTACTTTCTATATCACGTGTGGCTTCAATTGTCTTACTCCGCCACTTCAATTGGTATGGTCTTTGATTTTTTAATTCTTGTCACTTGTCAGTCTGGTCTAGGAATTTCTTATCTGTTTTATGATTGCGAGTGAAAGTTGTGTAGGTTTTTTATAACAAGCAAAATTTTTGTGGTAACTATTTTTTAGAACAAGTTTCTGTAATCATGCATGGTTTTATATTCATGCTATCAATTTTCCATGCAGGAGTGTTACTAAAGTCCACGATGAATGGTTTGCTGATGAAACTCGAGTACGGAAGCTAGTTGGCTTGTTGGAAGAACCTGTTGTACATGCCTCAAATGCTAGAGAAGTAAGAAATATAGATATTTACATCTTCATCTTTAACTTGGCTTCTTATGAAATATGTGTTGGTGTTTTTGATTGCATATTACTTGGGAAACATCTTGATGATTGCTTTTGCTGGCAGCATACATGTGGAATTTGTTTTGAGTCCCATCCTGTAAGTAGGATCAAGTCTGCCGCCTGTGGTCATCCTTTCTGCGCCTCCTGCTGGGAAGGTTTGCCATACTGATCTTTTTTTTTTCTTTCAATGTCATAATTTCCCAATTATGTATCAATATCTGCTTCTATTCTGTACAAGATTTAGGGCGTGATTTTTGTTTAAATTATTTAATAATAATAGTTTACTATGTTCTCTACTAAGGCTGTATTCGTCAGTTCACATATTTTCTGAAATGCTGACTTTTAGCGGGTATAACATACAAACACAAAATTATTCTTTTGCATGCTAGGGCTTTGTTCAGATGCTTGTCAAGGAAATCCAATTCTACAATTTCTATTGGCTTCCCAATCACTAGCTTCTCAGTTCTCATTGTCTTAACATCCGTGAGTTAGTATGAACTATATAGCCTATCTGCCCCTCGCTCACAAGAATATGAGGAACTTTTGCTTATAACGTTGAGCTTTCGACTATCACTAAGATTATTATATGATTTTGTTCTTTAATCAGAACAATGATTATGGAAGTGATGATATCTATTCAATTCATTTCACAATGTGCCTGACTTAATATGTATGTAATGTTTTTCTTTTGGTGTTTATTTACCCTATCAGTTTCATGATTATTTTTTGCTTCTCGTTAAGTCTGTTAACAAACTCCTATTTTATGTGCTTTATACATTCCCAAACAGGTCTACTATTAACTTTCTTGGAGTATTTTTTAATGTTAATATAGAAATTGTCCACTTTGTATACATGACCAATTCTTTTTCTTATTTTTGTTTAATATTTACCATATTATCTTGTAATATTCTTATGTTTCGTACATGGATCTTTGGGTAGGCTACATTAGCACATCAATTAATGATGGTCCTGGATGTCTGATGTTGAGATGTCCTGTACCTTCTTGCGGTGCTGTGGTTGGTCAAGACATGGTTAATTCATTGGCCTCAAATGAAGATAGGGAGAAGTATGCTCGTTACCTTCTTAGGTCTTATGTTGAAGATAACAAAAAGGTATAACTTGTCTTTTTAGCTTATTATTTACTTTTATTATAGTCCACATCAATCATAAAATTTGATTGACTAAGTTGTGTTTCCTTGTCTTGTACAAGTTATCTTTTTCCATGTGAGAAATATATATAACTCTAGCTTTGATTTCTCACTGCTCTCATTAGAGATGCAGTAGTTTTTTTCCATTCTGTTTTATGTTCATTCTTTTGCTGACAGTTGCACCTTTCTTTTGTTATTTATCGTTGCTTCCCTATCTTTCTCATGTTTTAATTTTCATGGTTTTCCTTTTTACTGCCAGACTAAATGGTGCCCAGCACCTGGTTGTGAGCATGCTGTTCTCTTTGATGCTGGCAATGGGAACTATGATGTATCTTGCTTCTGTTCGTATGGCTTTTGCTGGAATGTTGGTATCACTGATCTTTTCTAAATTGTTGTTTTTAACTTTTATAATTATTTTGCATATGTATTTACTTTTCTTTTGAATCTTCAGTGCACTGAAGAAGCTCACCGTCCTGTAGATTGTGCTACCGTGGAAAAATGGATTTTAAAGAACAGTGCTGAGTCTGAAAACATGAACTGGTATTTCTTTTGGCATTTGTAGTGTTCCTTTAGAGTACAATTTATTTTTTGACACTCAGTAAAAGATTTTAGAGTACAATTTATTTGACCGTTTTTCCCCTTCCTCATGTTGAATGTTACCTTTTTCTGGAGTCTCACGTGATTTTCATCTTTTGTATTCTCATTGTTATGTGCTTTGTTCGTTACGCTCCTGATTATTTTACATTTGTGAATTCTTGTGCAAGACATTGAGCATGATTAACAATGAGTTGGTTATAATGTGCAATGTTTGTGTGTGCACATAAGTTTCATTTACATTTTTCAACAAGGCAGTCACAGGAGAAAAAGCTTCAAGAAATAATTGACTTGTTTTCTGGAAACCTAACTTTGTTTTTTAAACATTATAATTTCAGGATATTGGCTAATTCCAAACCTTGTCCAAAGTGCAAGCGACCAATTGAGAAAAACCAAGGGTGCATGCACATGACTTGCACACCTCCATGTAAATTTGAGTTTTGTTGGTAAGCTTTGATGCAGTTGGCGGAATAAAGTTATCTCTTCTCTTCTTTTCTTAATGCAAATTTAAAATTTTTAATTATGATTATAAAGTTCTCCTTTCCTCATTACGGGATTCCTAATATATCCACTAATGCTGTTGTGGAGTATGGACAAAGCAGGGCGAAAGGGGTTTTCATTGATTGCATCTTTTTATGAGCAATTTGCAAATGGATTATTTTTTTAATTTCTTATAATTTGTGAAGTGCAGGCTGTGTCTTGGTGCATGGTCTGATCATGGTGAAAGAACTGGTGGCTTCTATGCTTGCAACCGATATGAGGTGGCTAAGCAAGATGGCGCGGTAAGGAATCTTCCATCCTGTATCCAACTGCAGCTGTACTCTGTGGTGCAATGCTTGAAATTTTTGACTTTTTTTTTATGCTTGATATTGTAGTATGATGAGGCTGAGAAAAGAAGAGAAATGGCAAGGAATTCTTTGGAGAGATACACTCACTATTATGAACGTTGGGCAAGCAATCAAACAGTAAGCCGAAATAGCTATCTCAAACTTGTACCTGCATTATATTTTGCTCATAATTGCATATGCTAGACTTATCTTTTTATAGCTTTTTATTTCTACCCTTGGTCTCTAGTATCCCGATATTTGTCAAGCTCAGGGTTTCTTTTTTGAAGTTTTCCATGCACATGATACATGATTGTTTGTTTCTCCTCTGTGGTATGCTTTTTTATTTTCCCTTTTGATTTCTTTACTTCTTGTTGCTTGTCAACTTATTGTCATTTGAACAAAACGACTGAAAAGAAAGAAAGAAACAGGCATATAATTAGGTTCAGGTCTTGGTAGCCACCTTTCTAGGATATCATATCCTTGAAGTTCATGATGCCTAACATAGTAAAGCTGGGCAGTTGTCTCAAATGATTAGCCGAGTGCAAACTAATCCCACTCTTTCAGATATTAAGATGTAAGGATAAAAGTATAATAGCCACATATTTTTTAATGGATAAAGCACTGAATAATCATTGATGGGGAGGAAAATTTTCTGGTTGAGGTTATTATACTTGTTTCTTTGTTAGTACTTCATAATATTAATTACGTTCATCCTACCATATCATTATTTACATATAAAAACTCTTCCTCTAGCAATTTTTCAAAGTAAGCCGCATTATTTGTTATTAAGCAATATTGGCCAAACATTTTTTGGATAGCAGGGGTCACAACCGGCCAAACTTTTATATATTACGAGTGATTCCTAAAATGGGGAGGGAAGGTTTTCTTGTTTGCTTCTAGATGGATGGACTTTGTTAACCAACCTTTCATGTATCGTTTATCTTTCTTAGTGCAAGCTAATTGGTGAGGTCTTTTTAAACCTTGTTGGCTCTTAAGCGTGTATATTTCATCCTCCCTTGTGTTTTTGTTTTTGTTTGTTCAATAGATTTGATTCTTTTCATTCAAAGCTGCTTGAGAAGTTCGTGTTGTACATGGTATCTGGACATTGTTCAGACAGTTCTTTTTTATTATTTTTTGTTTACTGATCTTTGATGTTAGGATGTCATTGTCCTTTGCAGTCTAGGCAAAAAGCACTTGCAGATTTGAATCAAATGCAGAATGTGCATGTGAGTTTCTATTTTACTTTACAACTCTCTTTATGTTCAATTAGCACTGAATTATTAGTGCTCCAGAGCTACTCTGTAGTTTTCTAATGATATCTATTGTTTTGGTTTCTGATGGATGAATAAAAAAAATCAAATCACAAGATCTCTTTAGTTTCCACATGCACGTGATTTGATTACTCTGTTTTCTTTGGGTTTGGAGAAGAATTCTTATTTCTCGTTTTTCTTAGATTGAGAAGCTCAGTGATATTCACTGCACTCCTGAGTCTCAGCTAAAGTTCATAACAGAGGCTTGGTTACAGGTATGTTCGAAATTTACTCGGCTATGAAATATTAGATTTCTTCAGTTCATCGATGCGTACTTTTTTGTTCTAGTAGTCTTTCAAGTTGTATGAGTAACAATTTAAAAGTAGTACAAGGATCCTCGCAATGCTATAGTACAGTTTAGTGATCCATTACAGACGAATTCGACAAAAGTTACAAAAAGAAGTTTTTCTCAGAGTTCGAGATGAATATTGTTCTAGCCCACCATTTTTGACCTCCTGTTCATTTTGTAGATAATTGAATGCAGACGAGTTTTGAAATGGACCTATGCCTATGGATACTACCTGCCAGAACAGGAGCATGCCAAGAGACAGTTTTTTGAGTATTTGCAAGGTAATTGCGTTCTTGAGGTTTGGATAAGGAACAATTTCTAAGCGGTATGTTACTTAAAAACGGCATATTCCCTTCGCCTACAGGTGAGGCCGAGTCGGGATTAGAAAGGCTTCATCAATGTGCCGAAAAGGAGTTACTCCAGTTCCTCAATGCAGAAGGCCCCTCAAAAGAATTCAATGACTTCCGCACAAAGCTTGCTGGTTTGACCAGGTAAGAAAGGCACATCCATGAGCACAACTCTGATTTCAAGTTAGAGCGTGTAAACATCAAAATTGATTTTGTAACTCAATGTATTTGTGTCTGCTGCATACAGTGTTACTCGAAATTACTTCGAGAACCTGGTTAGAGCACTAGAGAATGGGCTTTCAGATGTGAACTCCCACGGAGTGAGCAGTGGCACGAGCTCGAAAAGCACAGCAGGAAGTAGTAGCAAAGCAGGGAGAAGCGGACGGGCTAAGGGGGGGATCATTCGAACCAGCGGTTCGACCAGAAGCGACGACAATGCAACTCATTGGTCATGTGAACACTGTACGTATGTGAACGCTAGATCCGCTACAATATGTGAGATGTGCCATCAACGCCATTGAAAACCTCTGGTTTCCATCAATGGCTGAAAAAGAAAAAGAAAAAAAAAAGAAAAAAAAAAAAAAGAAGGCGTTGCTGTTATGTGTTGAGAGATGAAACGGTCAAATGTGATTTCTATGTAAATAGTTGGCGGCAGAGTATAAATTAACAAATTTAATTTGTGTTGTGCAAAAGTGTGCGTTCATTGATGGCTTAATGAAGAGCTAGTGAGACATAATTACTAGCCTTGAAATAATGCCATTTCAGTTTCTCTATCTTCCGACTTTGTTTGTTCTCGCTCATGAAAACCCGGGTCGATCCTTCGTTCATCGACCAGATGTGTCAATAACAAGATCACTTTTCCACTTTAGGATTGGGTAGGTCTCCTCCATTCATCTGACCAGTGGTGTGGATAACAAAGTCACCTTTCCACTCTAGGATTAGATAGGTCGATGCTTCGTTCATCTGATCAGAGGTGTGGAGGATAACATGGTCACCTTCCGACTCTAGGACTAGATAAGTCGATGTTTCATTCCTCCGACCAGAGGTGTGGATAACATGGTCACCTTCCCACTCTAGGATTAGATAGGTTGATGCTTCATTCATCCGACCAGAGGCATGGATAACATGGTCACCTTCCCACTCTAGGACTAGATAGGTCGATGCTTCATTCATTCGATCAGAGGTGTGGATAACATGGTCACCATCTTCCCACTCTAGGACTAGATAGGTCGATGTTTTGAAAGAGTAAAATATGAGATAATTTGTATAAATGTATTGTCATGCTATTATTATTTTTTTCGAATTTGGACAATTTAATGAAAAAAAAGAAAAAAGAAAAAAGAAAAAAGAAAAAAGGATAAAGAAAGAGAAGGGAAAGGAAAGAAGCAGAAGTGGCATTTCTAATTCACAATACAGTTTACATGCAGCGTTCAGTCCAGTCAAGTCACACACACTGTTCGTTCACTTTCTCCTCCTTCCCTACACTCCACACACATTCCCGCACTATCCACCGCCATTTTCTTCATCTTCTCAACTGCTTTCCCTCGTCTCCAAACCCTAATGTTAGCGTTTCGCTTCCATTCAAGGTACTTCAATCCTTCTTCCACCTTTGCCGAAGCTGCATGTGGTTACGGTTCATCTTCTGGAATTTGGCCCCGTTTTTGTGCCGTTATTGCGTTTTTTCTTCTCTTTGTTTTGGTATGACATGCATTAGGATCAGCCGAAAGTTTGCTGTTCAACGTGTTGTTAGTTTGTGTGAAAAATTGTTCTAGAATTAACCTGCTCTTTGTTTGAATTCATGGTGTAGGATGCGATGATCGTTTATCTTTTGAAACCTTGCTGTTCTGTTAGGCGTTTTTGGTTTTAAATCCGGAGATATTTTTCGTCTCTTTCTTATGGTATAACATGCATTAGTATCAGATAAAACTTTTCTGTTCATCAATCGTTCTAGAGTTGGTCTTTAACAAATTCATGCTCTTCTGTTATGACTTCCAAGATATCCGAAACTTTCTAATTCTTCACTCCTCTGTTTTAGAATTGTCTCATGAATTGTGCATAAAAGAAATAGAAATCGTAAGTCTACGGTTTACTGTATCTTTAATGACAAAGTGTTCAGCTTGTTTGGAGTGTTTTGACCTCATCAAAATTAAAACTTCTTGATGGTTGTTCTTTTTATGATATTTATAAGTAACATACTTGCAATGCTTTGTAACAATCTTCAGCTATGTTTTTTATTGTATTTCTTTTGAACTTGAGTCTCTGAGTTAGTTTTTTTAAGATGAAGTAATTAGTAATAATTATCTAAAATGTTCCGTTTGTCTCATTTACATTAAAAGAAGTAAAAAGTAAAAACTAGAAATGAGAAATAAAAAATGAAATACAAGAAGTTAAAAGTAAGAATTAGAAATAGGTGGCTGACTAAGATTTGAACTCATAAATTTAAACAAAAAAGAAAAAAAAAGAACAATGATATTACTATGACGTATGATCCCTTTTGAGGCAACAAAATTCAAAATGGAACAACTAGAAGGGTTTCTCGTTTCCATTAGATTGAACACGTGATTCTTCGCTCTCACGCACTTGGTGGTACAAGATCAGCGTGGATCTAATTTGAGTAATTTCTTCACAAGCAGTTAATTATCCTGCATGTTTTACTAACAACCAAGCCGCTAAAGTCTACACATTATTTGGTTTTTTCAACTCTATGCCAGTAGTCTGCCTATTCTGACACAATTTTTGTGTTATTATTAGCTTTATGTTAGCGAACATAAAGATTGAAAAATTGATTATCACTTGCTTGCTGGTAAATCTTCATTTTTCTAGGTGTGAGTAGACTAGCGAGGAAGTTCGGTTCCTTGTTAGGTTCCATACTTCCCTTTGTTCTTCATGTGTAAGGACTTATGGAACTATTCGTTAAGTTTAATCTTGTTTAATTGGAACCCTTTTCTCTAGCATGTCTCCTTTTTGGGTTGGTTTTTTTTTTTTTTTTTTTTTTTTTTTTTTTTTTTTTTTTTTTTTTTTTTTTGTATTCTTTCATTAGTTTCTACTCAATGAAGGATCAATTTTTTGTAAAAGAAAAAAATTCTTTGCCTTGTCACAGAGAATATGGTCAATTATGGTTCATTGGATGTGGAAGAAATTCTGACGGGGGTATTAATTTAGCTATTCATCTGGCAGCTCTTTTAGCGGGCTCCCAATTTCTCATTCCAAGCAGCGTCAACCTAAGTCTGAATCCTTCTATGTTATTTTTCACCAATGATGAAAAGTTTGGCGTCTGATTCTCAGAAGAGGATTTCATATATGAGAAATTGAGAAACAGTAGTGGTCCAAAAGAACATCCTAACCATGAGTGCAACAGGTGTATGCCCAACCGAGGATGCCATATTTACATTATTAGATTATTTAGTTGAACCCATGCTTCCTGCAAAGTCATTGTCGAGAGAAAATCCACCACAATCTCTTCTGCAATCGGTTGCAAAACAGGTACTTCTCGAATTACCTTTCATGTGTTTAATATTTTAATTTCATTCACTTTCAAGCTTGAGAATGCTCAAACAATCATAATCGAGCCAACAATTTTTTGGTTCTGAACTGGGTGATTTGAGTTGATTTACTGGAAACATCAAAGTTGTACAAGCAGCAATCCGTGTTTCAATATTCTTCCATCTTTAGAGAGTACCAATAGTTTAGGATGATACTATTACTCGTTCGAAGAATGTAATTTCTGTGCTCTCTCTTCCTCAATTAACCGTGTGCTTTAATACTTTTGATCTTTTGGAAGTACAGGCTTTTATAAGCATAGAATTACTTTTATAAGCATAGAAGTACAGGCTTTTACTGTTGTATGATTAAAATGAAATATGTTTGAAGTAGGTTAGTTTTAACTGCATGTGACAGTTTATTAGTCACCACTCCTTCTCAGAAGTTGAAAGGCTCGTTTATTGTCTTAAAAAAAACAAAAATAATAAGGTAGCATGTAACTTAGTGTTTTTCCCTTGAATCTACTATGGTAGGTGCATGCCGTTGTTCTGTTGTACAACTACTACCACCGGAAACAACATCCGCACCTTGAATTTCTGAGTTTTGAGGCATTTTGTAAGTTAGCTGTGGTCGTTAAACCAGCTTTGTTGTCTCACATGAAACTCATGCAAAACTCAGATGATATAGAATTGGAAAATCCCGAGAACCAGCTTTCTCCAGCCGAAAAGGCAATTATGGATGCATGTGATATAGCCACTTGTCTACAGGCATCAAAAGATGATGACGTAGAGGGCTGGCCTCTTTCCAAGGTTGCTGTTCTTTTAATTGACTCCAAAAGGGAAAGTTGCCATTTGCTATTTAGTGTCATCACTCAAGGAGTTTGGTCTGTCATTGAACAAGATTTGGATACCTCGGAATGTCAACCAGAAACTGTGGACGAGGAAAAACATGTAAATAAAAAGAAAAGAGTGATCAAGAAACCTTCAAAAGAGGGGCCAGTTGATGAAATTAAAACTCAGCAGCTGGCATATTCAACAGTTAGGAAAGCAACAGGTTTGTATCTTACTTTATGAGCTCATCAGTGCGTTCAATAATTATGTATTGTTCTTATAATCATAAAGTTATAAGTATACATAGAATAATTACTTTTATTTTCTATCATTTTATTTTAGAGGCGATGTCCCATAGTGATTGTGTTTGCTTAAAAGATTCCTTTAAGATTTCTAATGATTGACTGCAAAGTTGATTGTCTCGTATATCATATCTTCCTCAATTAAGGATCATGTATGGTTAACTTTTAGGAAATAAAGATATCCATCATCCATTTTTTGGTCTTTCCGAAATCAGATTATTTTGGTTAAATTGCAAATTTGGTCCCTTCAGTTTGGAGAAAGAATTTAGTTCCTATGGTTTTAAATGTTAAAATTAGTTCCTACAGTTTGCTAAATCCTCATAAACAGTCTCTAATATTTATGAAGTTTTGTCAAAGCATCAGGATAAAATTCTAACTTTTAAAACCACGGAGGCCAAATTCTAACCTTTTCCAAACTAGAGGGACCAAATTTACAATTTAACCATTAATATTTAATTTTGGTATTGGTTGGATGATCTTAAGGTGCCTCATCATATTGGTTGTGTTTATGTCCTCTTTCTATTCTCTTCTGTAATTACCTTAAGAAAAGGGGAAGAACTTAGATCTAGCATGACATTATTTGGAGTATACGTACAAAAATAAACTAGTCTTTTTAAGGGAATACATTGTTTAGAACTCAGATCATCATATGACATTGTTAGGATTAATCTTCAAAACATTGTCTGGACTAAAGTGTTCCTTTTGTAATTACTATTTTAGGTATGTGGCTCATAACTTGAAGGAATATATTAATTTCTTCAATGAAAAAGTTCTATTTTTTGTTTTAAAAAATTTATGGAGAACAAATTTAGTAACCAAAGAAAGCAGTATGGTAGCTACCCCCTTCACCCGCATCCATTCCCTTGTTGACCTCATCTAGACATTGTATTTTTTCTTTTTGAGGTCTTAATGATGCAAAGTCAGTAAGAGTGCCTAAAGGATTTGGAACATTCTACGCAGATGGGAGGATGCTTGTTTGCAGGCATAATTTGGGATAACTTGTGAGAGGCTTCGAAGCAAATGGCATGTTGCATGTCATGTCGGTCTATGATTGAAGGGTGACTCTTTGGCAGACTGCTTTCTTTGCGGTCTGAGGGGAGCATCAGCCACTTCGAGGGAAATGCTATATTTGTTGCCCAAATTTTTTACATAGATTTCTTT